CTTGCTCCATCTCCAACCTCCACCCACGGGGGCTTGTTCCTGACCCCACCCCCACCCACGGGCGCTTGTTCCTTCTCCAACCTCCACCCACGGGCGCTTGTTCCTTCTCCAACCTCCACCCACGGGCGCTTGTTCCTTCTCTAACCTCCACCCACGGGGGCTTGTTCCTTCTCCAACCTCCACCCACGGGCGCTTGTTCCTTGTCCAACCTCCACCCATGGTCGCTTGTTCCTTCTCCAACCTCCACCCACGGGGGCTTGTTCCTTGTCCAACCTCCACCCACGGGGGCTTGTTCCTTGTCCAACCTCCACCCACGGGGGCTTGTTCCTTGTCCAACCTCCACCCACGGGGGCTTGTTCCTTGTCCAACCTCCACCCACGGGGGCTTGTTCCTTGTCCAACCTCCACCCACGGGGGCTTGTTCCTTGTCCAACCTCCACCCACGGGGGCTTGTTCCTTGTCCAACCTCCACCCACGGCGCTTTGTTCCATCTCCAACCTCCACCCATGGGCGCTTGTTCCTTCTCCATCCTCCCCCCACGGGGGCTTGTCCCTTGTCCAACCTCCCCCCACGGGGGCTTGTCCCTTGTCCAACCTCCCCCCACGGGGGCTTGTCCCTTGTCCAACCTCCCCCCACGGGGGCTTGTCCCTTGTCCAACCTCCCCCCACGGGGGCTTGTCCCTTGTCCAACCTCCCCCCACGGGGGCTTGTCCCTTGTCCAACCTCCCCCCACGGGGGCTTGTCCCTTGTCCAACCTCCCCCCACGGGGGCTTGTCCCTTGTCCAACCTCCCCCCACGGGGGCTTGTCCCTTGTCCAACCTCCCCCCACGGGGGCTTGTCCCTTGTCCAACCTCCCCCCACGGGGGCTTGTCCCTTGTCCAACCTCCCCCCACGGGGGCTTGTCCCTTGTCCAACCTCCCCCCACGGGGGCTTGTCCCTTGTCCAACCTCCCCCCACGGGGGCTTGTCCCTTGTCCAACCTCCCCCCACGGGGGCTTGTCCCTTGTCCAACCTCCCCCCACGGGGGCTTGTCCCTTGTCCAACCTCCCCCCACGGGGGCTTGTCCCTTGTCCAACCTCCCCCCACGGGGGCTTGTCCCTTGTCCAACCTCCCCCCACGGGGGCTTGTCCCTTGTCCAACCTCCCCCCACGGGGGCTTGTCCCTTGTCCAACCTCCCCCCACGGGGGCTTGTCCCTTGTCCAACCTCCCCCCACGGGGGCTTGTCCCTTGTCCAACCTCCCCCCACGGGGGCTTGTCCCTTGTCCAACCTCCCCCCACGGGGGCTTGTCCCTTGTCCAACCTCCCCCCACGGGGGCTTGTCCCTTGTCCAACCTCCCCCCACGGGGGCTTGTCCCTTGTCCAACCTCCCCCCACGGGGGCTTGTCCCTTGTCCAACCTCCCCCCACGGGGGCTTGTCCCTTGTCCAACCTCCCCCCACGGGGGCTTGTCCCTTGTCCAACCTCCCCCCACGGGGGCTTGTCCCTTGTCCAACCTCCCCCCACGGGGGCTTGTCCCTTGTCCAACCTCCCCCCACGGGGGCTTGTCCCTTGTCCAACCTCCCCCCACGGGGGCTTGTCCCTTGTCCAACCTCCCCCCACGGGGGCTTGTCCCTTGTCCAACCTCCCCCCACGGGGGCTTGTCCCTTGTCCAACCTCCCCCCACGGGGGCTTGTCCCTTGTCCAACCTCCCCCCACGGGGGCTTGTCCCTTGTCCAACCTCCCCCCACGGGGGCTTGTCCCTTGTCCAACCTCCCCCCACGGGGGCTTGTCCCTTGTCCAACCTCCCCCCACGGGGGCTTGTCCCTTGTCCAACCTCCCCCCACGGGGGCTTGTCCCTTGTCCAACCTCCCCCCACGGGGGCTTGTCCCTTGTCCAACCTCCCCCCACGGGGGCTTGTCCCTTGTCCAACCTCCCCCCACGGGGGCTTGTCCCTTGTCCAACCTCCCCCCACGGGGGCTTGTCCCTTGTCCAACCTCCCCCCACGGGGGCTTGTCCCTTGTCCAACCTCCCCCCACGGGGGCTTGTCCCTTGTCCAACCTCCCCCCACGGGGGCTTGTCCCTTGTCCAACCTCCCCCCACGGGGGCTTGTCCCTTGTCCAACCTCCCCCCACGGGGGCTTGTCCCTTGTCCAACCTCCCCCCACGGGGGCTTGTCCCTTGTCCAACCTCCCCCCACGGGGGCTTGTCCCTTGTCCAACCTCCCCCCACGGGGGCTTGTCCCTTGTCCAACCTCCCCCCACGGGGGCTTGTCCCTTGTCCAACCTCCCCCCACGGGGGCTTGTCCCTTGTCCAACCTCCCCCCACGGGGGCTTGTCCCTTGTCCAACCTCCCCCCACGGGGGCTTGTCCCTTGTCCAACCTCCCCCCACGGGGGCTTGTCCCTTGTCCAACCTCCCCCCACGGGGGCTTGTCCCTTGTCCAACCTCCCCCCACGGGGGCTTGTCCCTTGTCCAACCTCCCCCCACGGGGGCTTGTCCCTTGTCCAACCTCCCCCCACGGGGGCTTGTCCCTTGTCCAACCTCCCCCCACGGGGGCTTGTCCCTTGTCCAACCTCCCCCCACGGGGGCTTGTCCCTTGTCCAACCTCCCCCCACGGGGGCTTGTCCCTTGTCCAACCTCCCCCCACGGGGGCTTGTCCCTTGTCCAACCTCCCCCCACGGGGGCTTGTCCCTTGTCCAACCTCCCCCCACGGGGGCTTGTCCCTTGTCCAACCTCCCCCCACGGGGGCTTGTCCCTTGTCCAACCTCCCCCCACGGGGGCTTGTCCCTTGTCCAACCTCCCCCCACGGGGGCTTGTCCCTTGTCCAACCTCCCCCCACGGGGGCTTGTCCCTTGTCCAACCTCCCCCCACGGGGGCTTGTCCCTTGTCCAACCTCCCCCCACGGGGGCTTGTCCCTTGTCCAACCTCCCCCCACGGGGGCTTGTCCCTTGTCCAACCTCCCCCCACGGGGGCTTGTCCCTTGTCCAACCTCCCCCCACGGGGGCTTGTTCCTTCTCCAGTAGCTTAAACAGGCCTCAAATATCCTCGAGTATCCCCCGGGACGTCTTTGGGCATCTCCCAAGCTTGTTGAGAAACTCAAGGAGACGTTGTCTAAGTCTCAGGCATTTCCTCCACCCCCGCGAGTTAGTTTTCTGGCCCTTCCCCAAGTTTCCAATGCCCTGTCGAAGAGGCGGACACCAGGACTGCATGCAGCAGCTAAGTACTACAAAGGTGACCACCTCCCTTCGCCTCTCGCCTGCTAACCCTCCAAGCATCACCGGGGTCTGTTTTTCTCCTGGCCTAGTGCTGGTCGGCTCCGCCAGCCCTCATGGGAGAAAGAGAGAGACACAGAGCGGGGCTGGGGAGGGCCCCTGGAGGTACCCAGAAGAAATGAGGGCATCCCCTGCGATGTAACCTCTAATTTTTCCCAATCCGCGTGTGGACTAAATTTTATTCAGTGCACCGAGGCATGCAGAGATGTGCACCACCACTAGAAACTGGACTGCTAGGGTGGCTGCCCAAGCACGCCGCTTCCAAGGAACACGAGTTCCATGGGGCTGGAGAGGTCTTAGTCTGAGGCTATGGGTCTCCCCATGGGGCTGCAGGGGATGGCATGGAGAGGGGCCCATGTCCGGGACAGAGTAGGAGGTGGATCCATGGGGAGTTGTGGGGGGAGGGTGTTTCTGTAGGTGGGAGGGTCCCACAGGATGCAGAAGAGGGTCCCCTTGTGGGGCAGAGGGGTCTCAGGGAGGGGCCAGAGTGGGGATCCTATGGGATACAGAATGGGGTCCCCTTGTGGGGCAGAGGGGTCCCAGGGAGGGGCCAGGGTGGGGGGTCCCATGGGATGCAGAAGAGGGTCCCCTTGTGGGGCAGAGAGGTCCCAGGGAGGGGCCAGGGTGGGGGGCCGCGGGGGGGGAGAG